TATTTGAATTAAGTTAGAAATTGAATAGTATATAAATAGCTTACCATTGTAATAAAAAATTAAATAAATTAAGCATTTGCAATAATTTGTATAGTACAAACTATTTCTTTTTTATTTCTTGGAACTTTTATTTTTAAACTTATACAATATATATCAATATATTTATATTACTAATACAATACATATTACTATATACGATATATAATACAACTTATAATACATAATACTAAATATAATGCATAATAATATATAAGACATATAATACAACATATGGCATTACATCATGTTTATAGCACTAATATGGCAGGTATTATTACTTGCCATGAGATATTCTAGGTTGTAATTTTTGAAATCCACCAGCAATACTACTTTTATGACTATACATATTGTCCGATTTTCAAATATTGCACATAATTTTGTTTTTGTACTAAACTTCACACTTTACTATGTGTGTTTTAATTTATTTTGTTATTCTGTATATACAGTATATATATACATAGCTTTTATAATATTATGTCATATAAAGTTCTGCCAATATGGCTTTTTTAGATATTTTAAAAAATAATAATTTTTTTTCAAATTTTATAGAATTTAATTTGGCCAGGTTATGAAAACCAATCTATTAAGTTTATATGGCTTTAGTATTTAATATAACTTGTGGTTCGATAGTGTTGTGGTTAATGCTCTGAGATTTCAATCACAAGATCACAAGTTTGAAACCAACTGGGAATGATTAAAAATAAAGTTATATAACATAGCTACAAAAAGTCATGTAATATTCAGAAAAGAAAAGAAATTTGACAAAAAGAAAGTCATTAATATAAGGAATTCTAGATTAAGATCATGGAGATAACATGAATCTAAAAGAAGTAAATAGCTTGATTTTCTGCAGGAGAAGCATGTTATTTAAACAGGCCTCTGGTAATCTCAGATAGTGCATTTATAAAAGAAAGTACTAGTGAATACAAAAGTATATAGAAGTAGATATCGAAGATAGCCAAAACTGGTAACATAGAGACAAAGTAAGGAATGTAGTTAATAGATGATAAATGAAGATTATACATAGCTTAAGTGTGGATTAAGGAAGTAGGTTGTACTGACCGAAAATAGAAGACCGCAGGACTCTAAGGCCATGTTTTTTAGAAAAATATGAATCTAAAAATATGTGGGTTTTATACTGTGAGAGTAGAGTGATAGACTTAATAGGTACATAGTATAAGAAGCTCTGTGTTGCAGGTAATATATATAGTAACTTGTATATAATTTAAAATTTCTGTAATAAAAGACAATTAATAAAGAGTACTATATATGCTTAAGATGTGTAGAGCACTGAAATAGTTAAAAAAAAAATTATTATATACTTTTTTAACTGTAATATCCAAATAAAAATAACTTTTAAACTAAACCATATTTTTGGTTTAAAGTAAACATATGAGAGCCAACACTATTCGTTAAGAAAAGCTAAAATAAATTTAATTGTGTGCAACAGAGAAATAGTGAATTCATAAAAAATGTAATAATAATACTTTAATTAAGAAAATTTATACATATTGGCAGATTTGCAAACTCATCTAAAATAGATTTAGTTTGATATTTATTAATTTTAAATAAGTTTTTATATATCAATAAGCTTTTAATAAGTTATTACCAAAATTTTCATCTTACTAAGACAATTCTAATAAGCTTAAAATCATTAAAATCCAATTACTGGATCCCAAGATAGCTAAGGTTTTTGCCAAGATGACACATCTATAGAGTGGAGTAATTAGTCTAACTAATTACTCCACTCTATAGATTTGTTACTTTGGCAAAAACCTTAACTATTTCAGATCTTAGCAAGACAAACATTTTGGTAATAAAATTATCAAAACTTATCGATATATAAAATGTTATTTAAAACTAAAAAATATTAAATTATTTCTATTTTAGATGAGTTTTCAAATCCATTGATATGATATACATATGTACTATAGTTAAAATGTAGGATTGTTAAAAGTTCAACTCAACTTCAAAGTTGAGTCAAGTTAAGTTCAAGTTAGTTCTGAGTTTAGCTTATATATATTATGCAATGCAAACTCCTTATATATTTTTATATACTCCTTGCATATTTTATGCAACTATTGCATATTTTATACACCACTTACATATTTTATGCACCTCTTGTATACTTTTATACATATTTTGCATATTTTATGCATAACTATGCATAATTATATAAAAGGTGCATAAAATATGCAAGGAGTAAAAACTTTGTTCAAAAGTAAACTTGAGTTAACTTCCAAAAGTCCTTGCTAAGTCAACTCAAGGACCAACTCCAATGAGACTTTTAACAGCCCTATTAAAATATAATTGGCAGATACTGATAATCAAATTTATTTTAATATTATTTTAACATTATTTTAATATTAGTTAAATTTTTTGGTGGTGCATTTTTTGTTAGAATTAAATTTTAATTTAGATATAAAATTTAATAAAAGTGTATTAATATATAAATTTAAATAGACACCTCAAATCTAGCATTAGCTATAATATTTATTTATTTAAGAAAATTAATTATATTAGTATTAGTATATAATGATTTTAATGTAACTAAAGCAAGTTATACAATATTATGTTAGAATGAACTCTTTCTGATGATCATCTGGACCACCACTTCCCAAAAATTTTTTACAAGAAAAAACACCGGACGTCGGGGCACTTTAATGAAATGTTGAGGTTTAAATCGTAAGACATAGGAAAATGGCTTGCAGGACAGTCTTGTCATTTAGAGGTAGTTCTCATATGCTACCTGCTAACTTGTTTCAGAGCTTATTACTCACTGTTCTTTGCAACACAGCACTTGTCATTTAGAGGTAGTTCTCATACGCTACCTGCCGACAAGCTCAGAGTTTATCACTCACTGAAAAAAGTGAGTACTGTACAAGTCATAGGTGGAGAGTTTAATCGAAGTAAAGAAAATTCACGCTCCTTTGGTGCTCTCCTATTGGTTTTTTTTTTACCTTTCTCTCACTTTTTGTCGTTCTTACCATAATTTTTGAAAAAAGTAGGCATTTTGGCTTACCCCTCCAAAAGATTAGCATTGTTTACTCCTACCAAATCGGGATGGACTTAGTAGAAAGCAACCACATGTTTTGTTGATTTACAAATGCGGCGCTATGGTATGGGGATGGATACAGTACCCTCATTTAGGAGATACCCGAGTTGAGTCAGTGCGCAGAACGAGTCCTAAAAATAAGACGAACATTTTATAATGAGATATAATAATTAGTTGCAGTTATTATATAATTTTTATTACCAAGGTGCCTGTCATAGCTACCTTCCCCTTTTTCGTTTTTTTCATCTTTGTTTAATTTATGTTAAACTACTTTAGAATTTTGTTTGTTTTTTTGTTTTTTTTTTTCTACCGTGAGGTTTTTTTTCCCAAGATGTTTAGGTCTTTCGTAAACATGGCTTTAAATTTTTTCTTTTATGTATAAATAAGAGTTAATGATTTAGTTAGGCTTAGGTGAAAGAAGCTTGAAAGAAGGTGAGGTAGTCATGACAGGCAGTAGGTACTATCTGTTGAGAGCTGGCCAATATCTGATTTCAGGAGAAGCCGGATAGAGGAGAAACCTACTATAGCAGGTCACACATAGGTGCCAATTAGGGTAACCGGGTGAGTCACAACTCGTAATTTAGGTATACCGTATTACCACGAAATAACGCGTATCTGTGTAGTGTTTCGATTACCTGTGCGCTATTTTGAGTGCGCACATGTGCGCTATTTTGAGGTAACCCGATTTTTATATATATATGTATAAGATGTTCAAAATAGCGCCCATGTGCCGTATATAAATATTTATCGGAAAATCAAAAAACCTCTATCTCTTTAAATAGAAAAGTATATAACTTAGCGACAAATAATTTTCTAAAATTATATCAATTGTAAGTATAAACAAGTAGTTATCCTGTATTGGCACTAAAAATCTAAACCTTAATATATATAAATATAAATATATATATATATATATATATATATTATATGTATAGAGGAACAATTAACTTATTGTTGAACTTCTACATAGCGATAGTAAGAGCCTATTTAGAGTCTATTTAGCAGTTCATGTATTATATACAAATTTAGGGACAGCAAGCCTTTATTTAGTTTAGTAGCTTTTATATCATTTGATACATAATTCACTAAACTAAATAAAGGCTTGCTGTCCCTAAATTTGTATATAAATACATGAACTGCTGAATAGGTCCTAAAAAGCGAATTATTTATTTTTTAAAACCCGCACATATATAAAGTATCACCTGCAGATTTATGTCCTTATTTTTCTTTGTTCTTTGGCATCATTACGCAACACTATAAGACATTATAGTTCTAACTTTATACAGTATAAAAAAGGATGTGAATAAAACATTCATTTATCATCAAAATCTACCAGTATAGGAAATCCTAATCATTGTTATAACTTTAGCGTGAATTATCGTTAAGGTTGAAAAAATCAAATATAAAACATTCACATATTATATTCCAGTATTAAAAAAAATCAAAAAAAATAACCATAACAATTTATTATCAGAAATTTGCTAGGATAAGGGTAGCGCTAATTGAATATTTGACGATAGTTATTCTTAAAGCAATTAAAGCTAAAAAGAATAAATATGAAGTATTCATTAGACTTTTTTTTTTTTATCAAGAGATTTTTTGTACTACACGATCGCAGTATATATTTAAATTTTATCTTATTTTTTTTGTTTTGCGTGCAATTTTTACTTCATTTAACAAAATAGATCACACTCACAAAAATCACAGTTATACTATCACGTTTAAACTTGATGTAATCGCTTATGCGGAAGAAACGTCTAATCGTCGTGTATCAATATTTTACAAAGTTGACTTAAGGCGGGTTCAAGAATGTAGACAACAAAAGTCAAAGCTTGAGGCTCTTAAAGAAAATAAAGATATAAATATAAATCAAACATGTGTCCTTAGTGGTCGTGGTCGAAAAGCAATGTATCCTGGGTTAGAAAAAGAATTGGTGGATTATATTAAAAAAAAGAAAGAAGAAAAACTTGCGGTTACAACGTCCATGATTAGGAAAAAGACAAAGGAGTTAGGAAAGACCCTAGATATTAGAGATGCCAAATTTTCGCGTAGCTGGTGTGATCATTTTAGAAAATGACATAGTTTGTGGAACATACCCGAACACAAATTGTGCAAAAATTTCCTGAAAATATGCCTTTAGTTATTAGAGACTTTCTTGAAGTTTTATATGAAAAAACAAATATTATTGAAAAACAATTTATTATCTTTTTTGATAAAACGCCTATGTGGTTCGACATGCCTCGGAACTTGACAATAGATTTTCAAGGTGTTCGTAAAGTACCAATCAAGACTACAGGAAGTGATAAATTGTGTTTTACTGTAGTTTTGGGCTACACAGCTTCTGGAGTAAAACTTCCGCCTATGGTGATATTTAAATTAAAAAAAAAG